AAAGGGAATCCTTCAGTAAGTGCTGCTTTTCAGCCATGAGGTGCCCTTGTTTTTGCTGGAGTAAACCCAGAGCTGCCACACACACCAAAAAAAAGGTGTTTTCATTTCAACTGACTCTATAGGTTTCAGCAGTAAATGTGTTAACAGGAGCGTAGCTGTAACCTGTGACAGTCCACAGCAGTGGCCAAAATAAATGCTCATTATTAAAATTCTGGAATCCTCTCCATTAATTTACACAGTGGTCCTCTGGGATGTTAGGGCTAAGCAGCAAATCGGGTGAGAGGCTTGCAGACTCTAATTACAGCCTGCTTATGCTGTCTGCACTCTGGAAATCCATTACTGCCTGTAAGTATAGATAGAAGAGACAAGGGGCTCACTTTGGAGAAGCTGAGCTGTTCAGTACTAAAAGGAAATTATTCAGCATTTTCTTCCTGTAGAGTAACAACAACCAAAGTATCCGAGAGGGTGTTAAAGATGACAATAAATAAGAAAATGTTGGCACCTAGCCCCAGATTTTCATAACCTATGCATATCTGCAGTCCCAGTGTGCACTGCAATGGTTGTGCAGGCATTTGTGTTTGATTGCACATGCAAGTAACTGAGTATCTAACTGGGCATTTTTGCATGCCAGTGCTGTGATTGTCCAGAGTATCCTGGTGAGTGGGCAGTTCTGAAAAATCTGTGCCTCCAGATTTTAGACAAAGGGGTAGATTGTGCCTTTAGGCACAGCTCCGGGCAGTGCATAAACTATACAACTTCAGGAGTAGTCCCAAAGGAGGGACTGTGACTCAGAGACATGTTGAGTCATAATGCCTCCCCTGACGCCGCCTTGTTGGGGGAGAGAGGAGGGAGAGTGATTTACTGCTCACTTGTAACAGTAGTAAACTGCTACATAGTCCTTGCATTGGCTCAGCTACTCTGTCCAGTGAGTGGGGTGGATGGAGCCCAGTCTCCAGCCATTTGAACACTCTCTCCGCTGCAGGGAGGGAGTGAGTGGGTGAGTGGCCCCACTTATGCCTGTGCACTCAGATCCAGCAAGTCCTTAGAATGGATGTAAGGGGGATTCTTTCTCCCTCTTTGAGAGGCTGTTTGAGTCAGGGCCTCGCCTGGGTAGTAATTCAGTAGTAGTAGTAGTAGTAGTAGTAGCAGTTAGATTACACCAACTCCAGTAATTCCATCTGGGCTACAAATCCCCCGGCACTTTCAACTGGATTGAGTATTCTTCACTTTCTGCTCTCCAGTGTGTAGTGATGCTGCTACGCACTGTTAAACAGCAGCCATATTCCACCCCAGAGGTGGGTGCATTTCAGCAGTGGGTGCCCCTTATCTACCTCATAGGGGTGCTGACTTAATTACTTATTGTTGGATAAGTGCTTTGAGATCATTGGATGAAAGGCACTATAGAAGAGCCACATACTGGGCCAAATTCATCCTGATGGCAGCCGGTGGAGTTACACTGGGATGAATATGGCATGTTGTTGTTATTATTACTTAGGGTATTACTTCAAGCTGGAAGGTGTAAAGTCCAGCAGGAGGAGACATCCCTACTTTAGATCTTATCCATCTTGTGCACCAAAAATAGAAGGGTACCAGCAGCAACGTAAATAGTGGGAGGGGCTAGCTGTCCTGAGAACACACCTAGCATCTTGGATGGGCACATACTCAGGGCAGTTAGCCCGGGCCGGCTCCAGCATTTCTGCCGCCACAAACAACAACAAAAAAGCTGCGATCATGATCGGCGGCGGGAATTGGAAAAAAAAAAAAAGCCGCGATCGGCGGCAGCAGTTCAGCAGCAGGTCCTTCGCTCCTAGAGGGAGTGAGGGACCTGCCACCCCTGAATTGCCGCAGGTGCCCTCTCCCTTGGCCGCCCCAAGCACCTGCTTGTTAAGCTGGTGCCTGGAGCCGGCCCTGCAGTTAGCCCCTCACCACCCTGGCTATGCTCAAGCACAGGTATGTCTCCTGGAGTTGGAATTAGCCTCTGCTTATGGGTTGCAGGGAGGAAACGGATTAGACATCCAAGTGCAACTGTCACGCCAGTTCTCATTAGTCACGTGGCGTGGAATACAAAGAGAAAACAAAGAGCATAAATGGTGCAAAGTGCATTAAATAAAACACAAAAATCCTCACAATCCTCTTCCATTTTCCTGCATTCTTTGCTTCCATTTGGACCAGAAGCAGAAGAGAGAGGCTGCTCTTGCAGAATTTCCAGGCATCAGGAAAAATAAGAAGTCTTATGAGAAGCAGTTTTCATTAGATTTCCACCCCAGTTCTGTAGACCCAAAGTGTATGTATAAGCTTCTGGGAAACCTTCCAACAGAACCTCACCTTTGGAGATTCCCCCTCCTACCCCAGCACAAACACTCAGCTAGTGGCTGAACTGTTGAAAGCGTTTTGGGTGCTGGCTCAGTGATTTGGATGCACAATTCCCATAATTCATATTAATCAAATTCTCAGAGAGCTATTAGGAGTTTTTACACTCCATCAACATTTTTAAAGCAAATCACCTGACTAAAAACCCAATGCAATGTACTGAAAATGTTAGCGGCAGGGCTCAAAGTCTTTAAAAAATAAAAGCAGCTTCCAAATTTTTTGGGGGGTCAATGAAAAAATATTCCTGGCTAGATTGAGCCCCTAATTTGTGCACTAGTACTAAAAATGCATGTGCAAAACCCCTGCATTGACTATTTGGACATGCAATAGCTTGCCTGGCATGTGTACACATGGTAATTGGGCGCACAATTGGATATCTATAGTTTTTTAACCCTACTAATTTAATTCTACTAATATAAAAACTTTTTTTATTGTCACATGCTCTAAATATGCTTTAGTGCATTCAAGTAAATGCCTAACAGCATGTGTAGAGTATATATTACAGTAAATGGATCTCTAAGATAAATTGCTCTTAGTAGGTAGGTTTTATTTTCCGGTGTGGCCCATTAAGAGGTGGCTCAGAAGCATGCAAGCAGTACAACTAATAAAGATATTAAGGTGGGTAGATTTATGTAGGCATCGTACACAACGTATGGTCCAATCATGAAGGTTCCAAGGAGACATTTATTTCTGTTTCTGCAAAATTTAATTTCAGTCCAACAGTTTACATTTCACACACAAAACTTGGGATGCCATTTTATCAATGTGCAGTAGTACGCGGAGTTTTACAGTAGCAGACAGTGAGCTAAATTGGTGTTAATGGACACCCACGTACTGTTGTGAGAAATGTCCCAGGTTAATGCAGGTACAGTACATAGAATGCAGTGGCAGAACAGTGTATATATAATCTGTTTTAGACGGATATGTAAAAAATATGTGTAACACAATCAAAGTCACATTGCACCTCATAGAGACTAAATATGCAATGACCCCAAAGCCCTCAGCAGTCTCAAAAGTAACTGCCAGGCACGTCACAGGACATATTTTGTACTATATTTCTTTGAACAGCCCTTAAATGAAAAATTATTCAGGGTATATGACTTACCTAATATTGTTAGCCTTGAGTTGCTAAGAGACTTTGGACTATGCTACTGATAATGCTAGAAAGCAACAGAAAGAGAGAAAGCAGATTGAATTACTGTGGGCCAAATTCTGCTCTCAGTTATATCCGGGTAATTCCATGTAACTCACTGGAAGTGCACCAGTGTAAGAGGCAGCAGAAAGAAGTTCTGTGTTTCAGTGGCCATCATTATGGATGTGGTGGATGTATTGCTAATTAGAGCATATACAGTGAATCCTCAATCCATTGTAGTTGGATAACCCAGACAGTGAATGTCTATGGGCGTTGTTAGAAGTTTGGAGTAAAGACATACTGAAGGTGCATATCTAGCTATAGGTCGTTTTTATTACTAGCTAAAGTAGATGGGTTGATAGATAGCTATCATGTAAATTTAGGCTTCTTGTTGTACATATCAGAAACCCCTATGAAACAGGAAGAGGACACAAATAGCACAAAGAAATCAGACACCTTGTAACTGTCTTCCCAACTATGGTTCTTAAAAAGCTTGGGTAGAATAAAATAAAACAAATGGATGAGTCGTCTTCTAATAATAATAACAATGTTCCCTCTTTCCCTTCACCTTGGGTAATATCTTTTTTCCTGTTTAAAAAAAATGCAGTAACAATTTGTCCCTATAAACTACTCCTAGAGAAAGCTGGGGCTTTGCTTTTCAGAGGTGCTGAGCACTCACGCCACCAGGTGATTTCAGTGAGAGCGCTGGGTGCTCAGCGTCTCTGAAAATCAAAGCCCCAGGTGTCTCAATTTGGGCACTTAAAACCAGTGACACACAAATTTAAGAGAAAAATTAGGACTTATATTTCAATAAATAATAGCTTTTTACTAGAAACTAATCCTCCATGCATGTTACTAAGGAAGATGAAGATTTGCATGGTCTTATGGTTAAAACAAACAATGAAGATTCAACCAGGTTCTGCTAAGCTGCTGACTCACAGTATGACTCTGGTCAAATCAGTTTGACTCCTTGTACCCTCAGTCAATCCTGCTGGCTGAAGTCAGAGCCTTGCTGAAAAGCAGACGTTTCATATGTATTGAACATTCCTAATACACCTCTACCTCGATAGAACTCGGGATCCAAAAAATCTTACCGTGTTATAGGTGAAACCGCGTTATATTGAACGTGCTTTGATCCACTGGAGTGCGCAGCCCTGCCCCCCCGGAGCACTGCTTTACTGCATTATATCTGCATTCGTGTTATATCAGGTCGCGTTATATCAGGGTAGAGGTGTATTTACATATAAAGCATCAGCTGGGCCTCAATTCAGCAAAGCACTTAACCATGTGCTTAACTTTAAGCATGTGCATAAATCTTTTTCTGTTCAGGAAAGTACTCAACTACATGCTTACATTTAAATCCCATTGATTTCAGTTGGAAATAAGCATGTGCTTAAGTGCTCTGCTAAATTAGAGCCTTAATGACTGATTCGACTTTATTTAAGTTAGGTTTCTGATAATATTTCCCAACAAGTTAATAGTGTAATATTACTTTTAGATGGTCAGCAGATCTGGGAGATGGAGGCAACAGTGGATAAAGATAAGAGCCAACCTGTAAGTATGCAACATAATGTATGTCCTTTACTCCCTGCTTTTCAGCTATATGCTGAGAACATCTTCTGCAAGGTGCTGAGCCCCTCCAACTTCCGTTGACTTCAGTGGGAGTCCAGGCTGCTCAGAGCTTTGCAGGCTGGGACCCTTTGTTTGCGTTGCTTTATTTACATTTAGGGCCTGATTCTGCAAGGTGCTGAGCAGCCTTGACTCCTATGGAGGTCAGTGAAAAACTTACAGTATATCATCAGCGTCTTCTAGGTTCCAGCCCTTATAGTGCAATGGGCCTTATCTGTTCCTAAGGAAGTGAATGGTTCTGTTGCTATGGAAGTTGGATCAGTGGGATCAGATTGTAAAAAAGTAATAAATACATATATAGAATAATTACATTTCATGTTTATCAAGTGCATAGGAGTAGTTAAAGCACTGAAGCATTAATCAGTATTGTGTGTGTTCTATCTTTAGCTGAGACTTCTCTTTTCAACATCAGGACACTAGCAACAGAAGCCATAGAGGATGTGACATTTAAAAACCAGTTTCCTGATATCAGAAATCTTCCAGTCCTAACCCACCTGTCCCTTCTTTCCCCACATCCTCCTTTTCAGAGGGGAACAAGAAAATTCCTTTTCCTTCCTCCAGGGTTATGTACTCCATGAGGCAGTTGCCTGAGAGCCTGTTGATCATTGAACTTCAGTTTCTAATACGATATTGCCGCCTTTCATTGTTTCAGAGCATGCTTTTTGTAGAGATACCAGAGTATCGGAACAAGTACATCCGTACACCTGTGAAGGTGAATTTCTATGTCATCAATGGGAAAAGAAAAAGAAGTCAGCCACAGCATTTTACCTATCACCCAGGTAATTCTTTATGCAGAGGGCAGATTGGGCTACAATTTCTCACAAGGCAGGCTTTGTAGTCTGATACCTCATTCTCTTGTCATTAACTAAGCATCTGAATTTTTCTAATTTAATGCGGAGTCACTGCCAGATCACCAGTTGCTATTGGTTTAAAGGTTGCATGTAATTTTGGAGGAGGAATTTTTTTATATATACATGTATGTATGTAAGGGGGCTTTACATCAGATGTCCAGGCAATGGGCTGATCTTGCCCCATTTAAGACAATAGTAGTTTGCAAATGCTTTCAGTGAGAACAGGATCAGATGCTTATGTGCTCTGACCCTGTGAAAACAATGAATATTGCCTTACCTAGTTGACATGTACCACAGTAAATTAACATCAGACCTGGGGAAAGGAGTATTAGAGTATGGAAGGAGAAGAGAGGGATATATTCTTTAATGGAGGGCCAGTTTAGATATGAAAGAAAAGTTTGGATGCTTCTCAAACTCTTTCCCTTGGGAATTGGTGAGCAAGAAGTGAAACAGCACTTCCTAGTTTTGGCTGATTTTTCTCAGTGGAAACCAGAAAGCACAAACTAACCTGACTGGATTTTTCAAGCTTTGAAATTATATCTCAGTGCTGCTAATTTCTAAGGATGGGGAAACATCCAGATCAGTTCTTACTTGGTACAAAGCATTTCACCCATCCCTAGTGGAAAATGCTTCACTGCTCTATATGATTCATAGTTAGAGAGAGGATACCATTAAGGCTTTTGATGGCCACTAAATTGTTGCACTGTGAAATTACATTTGTAAATAAGCTGTTATTTCAAAAAGAGCCTCAAAATGTAAACTTTTAAAAAAGCTATAAGATTCCATTAGAAATTTATCTGTCTACAGGTTTCAGAGGGGTAGCCGTGTTAGTCTGTATCAGTAAAAACAATGCGGAGTCCTTGTGGCACCTTAGAGACTAACAAATTTATTTGGGCATACGCTTTCGTGGGCAATAACCCACTTCATCAGATGTATGGAGTGAAAAATACAGTTAGCAGGTGCAAATATACAATATATAATAGCATATAAAATAATTTCCCCTCTGTTGATACTCACACCTTCTTGTCAACTGTTGGGAATGGGCCACATCTACTCTAATTGAATTGGCCTCATTAGCACTGACCCTACCCCCCCCCCACTTGGTAAGGCAACTCCCATCTTTTCATGTGCTGTATTTTTAATACCTGCTTACTGTATTTTCCACTCCATGCATCTGATGAAGTGGGTTATAGCCCATGAAAACTTATGCCCAAATAAATTTGTTAGTCTCTAAGGTGCCACAAGGACTCCTCGTTGTTTTTATCTGGATACATAAATATTGTCCACTCTGCCTGGTATGTATCCCCGCACTAAGAGTCAGGGCATTAAGATGTAGGGATGGTTACAAGAAGTAAAAATTGCATTATCTGCCTGCAAAAGACCCTTCTTTTCCCACCACATCAAGATTCAGTTGACTTTTACAAATGGGAGTTTATTCTCCTTTTATTGATGATGTCGGCCATTGTTACTGGGGAAGACTCATGCAAAAAGATTGGGTCTCGAAGACAGCTCTAATAATGGTCTAGCCCAGACTGTTCCTTTGAATTTCTAATTAATCTCTTGGACTGAAAAACAGGGCTGCAAATCTTGCAATATCAGCACGTCTCATAAACAGTCTATTAATTCCTTTTTCCACTGGGGCCAGAAGTGCTATGAGGAATGCCTCTCTCCTGGTTTCTTCGTAGTTTTGCTTTGGGTTCCACCTAGAACTAGAAATTGCAGAACCGAGCCAAAAATGAATTAAAATGACAGCAATAAAAATAATGAGCTAATCTGGATTTTTGAACCTTGAGAAATGTGAGGTTTAAGTTTTGGGTAAAGTTTTTGTCCATCCTAATGCTAAGTGCTTTCACGAGAGATTCTCCCATGATTGCACTCAAGCAATTTACTACCTTTAGTACCCTTGTGGAGAGTGCACTCACCCACACACACTCTCACAATGACTTAGGTCTCTTCTTAGTGCCAGGGAAAAACAATCTTTGTTTCTCAGTTGCTTGTTAAAAATAATGTCCTTTGCATGCTTTATTCTAGTACCATCAATCAAAACAGAGCCCATTGATGACTATGATCCAGCTTTAATCTGCAATACAGTACACAGTGGTCTGGGAACAGTAACACAGCCTTACTATTCACAGCACACAATGGTCAGCGAATCCCCTTCCTGTCTTGTGGCCACTATGGCTTCCTGCCAGCAGTTGCGTTCAAGCCTGTCTTCTACTGATTCTCGATATCATCAGCAGAACCCAGCAGCTGTAATATACCAAAGAAGCAAAAGTCTCAGTCCTAGCCAACTAGGCTACCAGCAGTCCAGTTTGATGGCCACACAGGTTTCCATTTCAGATGCACACAGGTCAGTGCTGGTGCATGCTGGTTCCCCAGGCCAAACCTCAGCTGTGCTCCACCACTCTCCAGCCAGTCCACAACCTTCTCCCGTGATTCACTATTCTCCAACCAATCAGCAGCTGAGGTGTGGAAGTCATCAAGAATTCCAGCATATCATGTGCTGCGAAAATTTTACCTCTAATGTAGCAAGACCCAGCCAGCCTCAGGTCAGTCAAGCACAAAGGATAAGTCCAAGTTCATATCCTACTGTGATTCAGCAGCAGACAGCCACCAGCCAGAGAGCAGCAAAAAATGGACCGCCCGTTAGTGATCAGAAAGAAGTGTTACCAGCCGGAGTCACTATTAAACAGGAACAGAACCTGGACCAAGCCTATCTGGATGATGGTAAGCAGCACTCTTTTTTTTATTATATCTAATTCCATCTGGGCCTCTGTACAAAAATAATGTGGCCTCCTTCTTGACAGGGTGAGAACCCATCCCTTGTAAAGTTTTATATTTTCTTAATGTAAGAGCCTTTCATCAGCTGCATTTTTGGTAGATAGCAACACACTTTGGCAACTCAAAAAAATGAAGCATTTCCACAGTCTATAGAAAACCTCTGTCTTTATGTCACGGGGTGAGCTGTTAGGTTTTAAACTGTTTCTAATTTTTTTTCCCACTTGCCAACTGTTAGTTGAAAATGGAGAAACCGACACGAAGTGTTTTTTTTCAAAAGTATTTATATCAATGCAAATTCCACAATGTAAAACCCCATTTTTAAAAAGCCTAATTGAACAGTCCATGAAGACATATAATGAATAGGGTAGTGCTGCAGGCAAAACTATTGCAGATGTTCTAGATGAACAGTAGTACATTGATTAGTAAAACAATGTCATTTCTTTGTTGTGAGCCCAGTAGATTTAGCTGTTAGGACTGAATAAAAGTAAGAGTAAAGCTTTGTTTGAATATATCCTGCTTATCCTTAGGTAGATAAGAGTTATTGGCAAACTGGTTGATTGGTTGTTTTGTTAAACATTAGTACTATTTCATAGCAGGCAAAAAATACAAAGCTAAGGCTTGGGGGCTAGATCCTGTTCCCATTAAAGTTAGTAGCAAAACCCATGTTTACTTCCGTGGGAGCAGAAGCCCTTGATTAGAATGTTGCATATAAATGGAGTGGGCTAGATTGTGCAATTGTGTATGTAAAATGCGCCCATAATTTTCATGTACTGTTACTGCGACTGCACTCACAATCCACGTATTGCTGGTGCAAAATGCTAATTTTGGTCCCATGCGTGTGCATGTGCAATTCTGACAATCGACATATAAATTAGGCAAACAATACTTAGGGATTTTGCCTGCACAGTTATACAGTTATAGATTTTGAAATTCTAGTCCTGTCAGTTTTCCTTTGTGAACCCGGAGGTACGGAGTATTTGAAGACACCTTTATCTGATATGATCATCATGGCTGCAGGCAGAACAGGTTCCTACTCCCCACCCCTCACAGACACACTTTTTTTCCTTCTTAATGTAGTCCGTATTTTAAATGTTTGAGCTTCTTCATTCAGCCCTGGCAGTTGATGTAATCTTGGCACCATCACAGCAATCATTCTGGGGCAGTTCTTACAAATATAAAATGATCCTTGTCTGCAGAGAGAATTTTGCTAGTATTTTTTGGACATGAAATAAAATAAAACAAACAAAAGCCAGGGACTGCTCAGGGAAAGGAGCATTAGAGCAGCGCGAGGTAATTTTTCTCTGTAATAAAAGTGGCCACTGTGTCTTAACATTCTTTTAATATTACGGCATCAGAGATTCTTCCTCCTTTCTATAAATATTGGACACAAAAAAAAATATCTCATGGTTGCAATACAAATGAAAAAATAAGGAAATTCAAAGTTAAGGCTGATGAACTTTGGGCCTGTTCCAGGCCCACTGAAGTTAAAAGAAAGACTTCAGTGGGCTTTGGATCACGTCTGTAATGCCCAACTATATCATGAGTGCGTCAGAATGGTGCATACTGTACCTCAAAGCATGTGTTACAAACAGGGCTGGCTCCAAGCACCAGACGAGAAAGCACGTGCCTGGGGCAGCACATTGTAAGGGGCGGCATTCCGGCCAATTTTGGGGCGGCCAGCCCAGCCCTGCAGGGGCACGAACTAGCGATCCCCGCCGCTCACCGTGCCACCGGGCTCCCGCCACTCCCCGCCGCCTGCACCGGCCTCTGCCTCCCGCGCCGCTCTGAGCCCGGCCCAGCCGAGCCGCCTTTAAAGGAGCGGCTGAGCCAGCACCTCCTGCAGTCCCTGAGGGCTCTGCCTGCCCGGCCGGGAGAGGCACCCCAAGGCTGGAGGGCTGCCCACGGGTGGAGGGAGCGGGCGGGTGCCGCCCTTCACCCCCCTGCAAGCCGCCTTGACCGCCCTCCACGCGCTCCCTGCTTCGGCAGTCCGGACGCTGGGTTTTTTTTGCTTCAGCAGTCCAGATGCCCTTTTTTTTTTTTTTTTTGCCTGAGGCGGCAAAAAAGCTAGAGCCGGCCCTGGTTACAAAATAGGGGGGCTAGAGAAAGACTGGCAGTGAGTTAGGAATGAAATTCCAGGCTTCTGTTTGAACATCTTTGTCATCAGGTTGGCTGCTGGTCTGTATACTAACATTCCACTGAACTCTATGGATATTAGCACCTACATTCACAATAGGTGCCTTCCTCTCGGAAAAGCATGAAAAATTTGCTTGCCACCTGAGCATATAAAGTTAGTTGTTTGTGGGAGCTGTGTGTGAGGCAGGACTACAGAACTGAACCCTTTTCTGTGGAGAAGTTTTGCAAGTAACACAACAAGGTAAAAGAGCTGCTTTGGTCTGACATTTGGACACATTTTATTTACCGGTTTAAATCATAATAGCTCACTGGAGCCCTTAAAGTCCTTAGCATAAATTGTATTCTTATTCAGAGGCTTCTTTCAGCTATTTTTTAGGCTAGAGGCCATACCCATTCATGGAATGGAAATATTAAGTATGCACAAATTATCATGATATTGCACATTGTAGGTCAAAACCAGAGGTCAGCTCTCAATCATCTGAATTTTCAGAATCCTCACATTAATTATAGGGTATTATGCCCAAGCTGGACTATGGGGAACTATTCACACTAGTATTTCCCTTCCCTACATGTTTACTTTATTAAGAAGGAGCCCTTGGGGTAGTTATGCTTTACTTTGCAAAACACATGATTCCAAAATGTTCAGGTCTTGAAAACCACTTTGCTTTTCCATGGGGAAAAGTGATTCAGAATGTAACAAAAACCACATTTTGCTAACTAGAAAATTTATTTTTGCACTTTATAGTATTAAAAGAAACCCAAATCAATATGATTATAGCAGTTTTACAAGTCCCTTTGGCTGAATCGATCTCCTGAGATTATAAATGGTGATTAATCTTGCTGTAGCACTTATTGGGTAGATGCTTAGATGACCATTCCCATGGCTAGTTCCACCTTGTATTTAGCTGTGACACTCTAGGTGCCTTTCTCAGACCTGAAGAAGAGCTTTGTGTAGCTCCAAAGCTTGTCTCTTTCACCAAGAGAAGTTGTCCAATAAAAGACATTACCTCACCCACCTTGTCTCTCCCATTTCCATGGTTAGGTTTAACCGGCTGGATGGTTTTATTGTGCTATAGCTGACTGCTTCTGCATAGCTACTACTAAGAGAGTGGTTGTTTTGGTGTCTCTTGCTTCGCTTCTCTCTTCTTCCCCTTCCCCTATCTTTCTCCTTCTAGTCCTTCATCCTGTTCTTCTCTCTCTAGATTTCAGCTGACAGGCCAGGATTGGTGGGGGTTTTGGTTTGGTTTGGGGTTTTTTTGTATTATAGTTGCATCCTTCCCTCTTCACTCTGTCTCCAAGTCCCTTGCTCTTGTGGTTATTGCAAAGTCTTGCAATTCGGGGAACTAAGACTCTATTCTCAGCTCTGACATGAAGTTCCTGTGACCCTGGGCAAATCCTGCTCCATCAGTTCCTCATCTGTTCAATGGGAGATAACCACTACTGCCACACAGGGCTATAGTGTTTGTTAATGTTTGAACAATCTTGGAAGCAACCAGAGAAATACAGGGTACAACTATTATTATATTATTTCCCTTTATTTCTTCTGGCCCTCTTGTGTTTCTGCTGCTAGGTCTGCTATGTTGTCTCCCTGTAGTAATTCTCCTCCCATCTCTGCAGCTAAAAAGAAGCTTTTCTTCTTTTTGAGATCATGACTCTTTCTTTGCCCAGTGCACTCTCGGCTCCAAGGACCCCTAACGCTGGCACACACTATTAGAGTAATCCATGTAGCCCCTCCTTTTCCTCCTACTTTTAAAATATGATTCTTGTTCCACCGGGACTTTGCCTCCTGCACCAGCCTTTGTGTGCAGAGGAGGGACAAGCCCGTGCCGGGGGGGAGGCTGGCTTTTAGGACAGAGGAGCAGCTCTGCCCCCCGGCGTCCCGATATTTCATCTTTGGCATCTGGTCACCCTAGGTTCGATCCCACCTGCTGGCGACCAGGGTATGTCGGTATTACACTTGCACTAACTACCTTCCCAAACCACCGCTGCTCACTTCCAGCTTCCTTAGTCTCACAGGCAAGGGCTGGCAGAACCACCAAACTTCTTGTCCTTCCATAATATTATTTAAAGGGAGCATAGAACAAAGCTATCCAGCAGTTTAGGTTGTGTTTGGAAATGTAAAACAGATGCAGATTAACTTGAGTTGGATGTTGTCTGAATTAGGTCTGTCCAGCTCTTCAGGGAGATTTTATCCAGGGTTCTGATTTGGACCTGTTTCAACCATTTCCCCCATGCTACCCTGTGTTAGAAGCACAAGATACATGTTAGATTGGATTCCACCGGGAGGAAAGAGAAGGTGGGGAGGACAAAGAATGACCTAGCACAGGACAATTGAAAAGGATGCTGCCATCATGGAGACAACTTACAGTGGAATCAAACATCTTGCTCTGGATAGACAGCAGTGGGCAAAGTGGATTGCCCCATGTGCCACTAGGCACAGAAGTCTCTAAGTCTAGGGTACAAAAAGGAAGGCACAGTTGCTAGGGAACTAGCCTACAAAGATTCAAGTCCCTGCAGTGTCACAGAGCTCCTGTGTGGCCTTGGGCAAGTCATTTAGCCTCTGTGTGCTTCAATTTCCCATCTGTAAAATGGAATAATTACAATACCGTGGTGGGGGGGGGGTACAACATCAATACATTGATGACTGTGAGACACTCAGAAATACAGAAATAGCGGCCACAAAACTACCTTAGACAGACTCAGTGGGAGTAAATAAAGGTGGTAGAATCTGGCCCTAAATAAGTAAATAAATACATAGCTGCTCTCCAAAGTGGTACTGATTTTCCAGCCTGAGAATACGTAAGTTACATGTT